ATGATCTTTACTAATAGGCAGATCAGAGTATCTTTCAGATACTATTGTTCTTCCTGTTCTTGCTTGGCCCAGAAAGAGTTTGCAGAATTTAAGACAATGGGCCCTCAATACAGATTTTTTTCAATATAATTTTTATTAAAAGAAAATTTTACATAGATTAGAAAACTATGGAAACATAAAAGGAAAAGTAGAAAAAAAGAAAGAAATATGAAAGAATAAAAGAGAAAGATATCTAAAGAAATGACTTCTGATTTTTTTTGCATCAGTTATAGACATGATATTTACCATCTCCACCCTCCCATATTACATATCTTGTCCCCCTTCTTCCCATAAACAACCCTTTTTAATCAGTAAATCCAGATATCACCGGTTCATTTTAATCCATTTTCAGCAGAAAGTCCATAAAGGGTTTCCAGTCTTTTATAAAAGTGGTTTCCCCTGCTTAATCAAACAAGTCAGTTTAGCCGTCTCTGCAAGTTCTGCCATCTTCACAATCCATTCCTCCATTGTGGGTATTTCTGTATTTTTCCATCTTTGTGCATATAATAGCCTTGCTGCAGTTACCATAAATAAAACCAATCCTCCATGAGTCTTTCCTAATTAACTATCCCTAAGTTCTAATAAGAAAAATTCCGGTTTCATCTGGATGTTAATTTTTAAAACTCTTTGCATCACCATATGTTCCTTCATGTTTTTCACATTTCCAACAATAATTAGAAGTACCTTTATACATTTTAGACAATTTCTCTGGTGTAATACACCAATGGTACATCATTTTATAAAAGTTTTCTTTTAAATTGCAAGACAATGTGATTTTCAAACCTCTTCACCACAGCCCTCAGTACAGATATTGAGCAGGACTTATTCCCCACCACCACCACCCAAAACCACCCAAAACCCTCACCCTATTTGGTATGCCAGGCATCTGTTTGGGAGCCCATTCTCTCATACCAAATATTAAGCCAACATCCTTTGAGCATCCCACAACAGATTCACCATTTTGCTTTTAAAAAGGAAGATTTGAAATTCCCATTCAAGAATGTCTTTAGCCATAACCCTTAAAGGAAATAGAAATATTCACAAGTGATCTTGCAAAGCCCTTCTTAGATGGTAAGTGTGTTTAGATGGCAAGGTGTGTTAAATTTATGACACCTCTTCTGATTTATAGTCACACAAGATTGGATGAAGGGGTTGTCTCTCCTTTCTTCTAGCAGCTCAGCAAATTTTGTTGAAAGGTTGCCAAATTTCTTGCAATTGCTATTGCAGCAAGAACATTGTTTAGCAGTCTTGATTATTTGTTTCTTTATGGGTGTGTGCATGCACGCACACACACACTTCTTTTTCTTCTGGCTGTTTTAATATATATGGCATATTAATTTGTCCTCTAAACTATATCAATTGAGTTTTAATAATTCTCTTCATTTCCTGTTCATCCATACAACATGAACCATTCCTGTTGTCCTTAGTTTATGTTTTAGATGTTGATTTAAAATATTTTTTATAGATGTATTGTAGGCCACCTTGAGAAACAGGCGCATCACACATAAAATAGATGAGATTTGATTGCTGGTTGCAGCCACCGCCTTGATTTTGTCAACATCAGCCCTTGCAGACATGCCTGTTGGGAAACTTTTGTTTTCAAAGGTGACAGAGACATTCTTAGAGAAATAAAAGAAACTGTGTTCTCATATTTATTCTAAGACAGTACCAGATACTTAATATTCATTATATATGTGTTGTTTTAATTAAAGGGGCAGAGGGCCACTGAAGAATACATCCGATGTGATTAATGCAGCTAAAGTGATCTCAGAGGCAGGATCTAGAATGGATACATTTGCAAGGCTCATTTCTAACCAGGTAAGCTAACAGGGAGAGCATAACATGTTGTGTGTTACAATGGACTCCATGCTCCAAATACTATTGTATTATTTATATTCTTTGTCAGGTGCCTACTTGCTTTGTCAAGTAGGTACCCAGGAATTACTACAGCTGACATGTTGCAGAATGAATTATTAAACCAGAAGCACATGCACTAGTTAATTAAGTGGCATCTTGCTAAAATTATCTTGGTAACTTGAATTTTAAACCCTATAATTGCCTTCAGAATATACCTCTTGTTTCACAGGAATGCTATCACCTTACTTTTTCAATTTCATTTATATTAAAGTACAAACATAAATTGGAATAGAGTTTTTTAATAAATAAAAATAGAATAAGATAAAAATGCTCTAATTTCTTGTAAAGTATAGCAAGAATTAAATGTCCTTTCATAGTCATGTTCTGCTAAAAATAAAGACCATAATAAAATAAATAAAGACCTATACAAATAAATAAAACAAATAAAGACCTATACAAGACCAAGTGAGATACAAACATTTATTAAACTTGCATGGGTTTATTTGCTTATAAGGTAGAGATGGGACCTTATAAGGTTTTACTTTCTATCTTACTTCCCTGTTTTGTCACTACAAGCCTGTTTTTGATCCTGGAATTTAGCTAAAGTGAAACATGGGGTAAACATAGAGGATGGCTTTGATGGACAGAGGGAAGATCCATTACCAAGAAAGTGCCTTACAAAAATGCCTCAGGCAGACCACTCCTTAATTCACATGTAGATAAACCAGAGGAGAAGGGAAGCACATTCAGACCTGCAAGATTTGTTACTATAGCCATTCTAACAAAAGTAGCTTTAGGTCTACACAGTGTCTGTTCCTTAGTCTGGTCTAACTGATAGGGCTGACAAAACATGAGAAGTGTGATAAGGAAAAACAGAAGACAAGGTAGGTTAGTAGTATGGATAGTTCTTATTTTACAGGTATTCTGAAAACAAATCGAAGCAACACTGTTCCAGTGGGGATTTGGACCTTATTTTAATTGAATTGTGCCTTTGATGCTGTTGTTGTTTTTTTTAATTGCTGATTTTGGTTATCTGTCTGTCTGTCTGTCTATATTATTGCACTTCTTTGGACTTGGATGTATCCTACCTAGAGTCCATTTGGATTGGAACGAGCTATAAGTCTTGTTAAATGTCTGTCTGTCTGTCTATATTATTGCACTTCTTTGGACTTGGATGTATCCTACCTAGAGTCCATTTGGATTGGAACGAGCTATAAGTCTTGTTAAATGTCTGTCTGTCTGTCTATATTATTGCACTTCTTTGGACTTGGATGTATCCTACCTAGAGTCCATTTGGATTGGAACGAGCTATAAGTCTTGTTAAATAAATAAATAAATAAATAAATAAATAAATAAATAAATATTATTTTGAGTATGTTCTTACTAAAGATGGTTTAACTCATGGGACACATTTAACTCACAGTCTGGACTTTAATGGCTTCTCTTGCTTTGTCAAGGGTGTGTGACATACAGACCATTGCTCTCCTCTGGCTAGATATATGTGTAAAAGAAGTTTTATGTCCCTGTCCTTAATAATGACCTAGAGCCTTGTTCGCTGAAAACTCATGAGTACATTTGCAACCCTGAACCAGCTGCTCATGTTGAACTGGTAGCCTGGCAAAAAACTGACAGCACACAAATCAGCCGCCCAAGAGTACAGAGACCTCGACTGAACTAGTGGCTTGGCATTGTTCCTGATTATCTTTCCCCACTATATGCACATCTTCCCATAGCAATGAGCATGCATGCCAGTGAACTGTGGGCTAGATGTTTTATTATTCTGCAGTTTAAACAAAGATTTTTTTCAAAGATTTTTTTTCCTGGCTGAGAAAACTGGGAGATAGCTGAATTGTTTAGTCTTCTTGCCAAAGCTAATAATGTCATTTCAGTGGAACACAGTTTATCATTCATAGTACCTTTCAGAGCACAGCTCTGTTAGCCTGAGACCACCTTCCAGTCAACACCTCCATCATAAACCAAGTAAAAAAAAATGAATTCTTTTTTTTTCCGCTCTCATGTAGCTCCTAATGTGAAAGTGTGCTTGAAATAAGCAATCAGTCTATAATGAAGACTCAGTGTTGCATAACTTTGACCTTTTCCAGTTCATAAAGTAGAACAGTTTCAAGTGAATGACTTTTATTTGGGTTTCATGCCATCTCAGACCATCAGAATGGAGAACTGTGAAACCATTGAAGTAGGCAATATGGATTATTTCCTGTGGGGGAAAAGGATGTTGTGATTTAACATTAGCTCCATCTTATAAGACATTTCCTTTAGCAGGATATATTTTAAACATATACAGGAACGACGTCACTTCTCATTTCTGTTTAAAGAAATTGACACATTACAATAGTGTTAGACAGATTAATTACTGTCGTGGTAGTTGAATGCGTGGCTCAGAATTGACATGTTACATTGTTGGATTCTCCAAGCTTGGTTTGAGGGTTGCAGATGTTTCATTACTCTTCTAGGTGGCATCATCAATGCAGGAGTTTTGGAGGTGTGGGATTATATATTCTTCTGTCTTGCCTGCTTTGAACATACTTGCATAGGTGGTTCTGTGGGCAGATGTTGCTTTGCAAGTGATGGTGGTTCTGTCTTTGTGTTGGTTACTTCCTACGTGATTGCTGGCATTGATGTCTGATAGGTGATATTCTTTTCCTGTAATTGTTGAGTTGGTTCTTTGTTGTGTGACGGGGTGAACGTGCAATGTTGAACGGATGCACTCAAGCTAGTTCTTTGGATATGCCTTTTAATAAATCCATCAATAGGGTAAGTCTGAGTCTGTTGATCAATGCTTGGTTGGAGTGCCCTGCAAAGAATTCTCTTGCATTTTTCAGTCTGGCTTCTTCTAATATTTCTACTGTTTTCCAGTTGAAA